CGCCGGACCCCCCCTATTAGGTCCGCCACTGAGAACATATATTGTATATCTGGATGTACCTAGAGTTATATCTAGCAAATGTTAATTTTGAAACAACGTAGCATTCATTCTGTAGCAATGTAATCTTCATTTTCACACATTTATTTATTACAACTATATTCATTATTTACGAACAACGTAATATTCATTTGAAACAACGTAGTTTTCATTTCAAATCTGCAGACTCTTCATTCTCAAACAACATAGTTTCATTCTGAAAAAATGTAGTGTTCATTTTAAAACATTTTAATTAGAAGTTTTTCATAATGTACGGCACGCACATTCGGCTCAGGCCCGCCCAATCAGCATTGATAATACTTAAAGGCCTTGTGTAGGCTTTATTGCTCTAATATAAAAATTATACAAGAATTTTTCATTGTCAAGTATTTATTAAATACGGAGTACATAATATAATCAACATTTAAATTAATAAAATTTTATAAAATTAAAATATCATCATAATTGTCAATAAAATACCAGAATTGACGAACACCTATAAAGTGTGGACTTGAGGTAGGTTAGTTTAATAGTTTGGCCTCAATTCATTGTCTAATAGGATTATACCTAGAATGAGTTAGGTTACGTTGCTTCATTTATCTTGTTTCAAAGTTTACACATTTTTTAGTTGAAAAGAATTGAATCTATTTCTCACATTTTTTAGTTTTTTTATTTGAAGTACACCACATTGACGACGTGCATTGTTTGATTTTCAACACTTTGTAAGATATTTTTTAAATTTTTATAATTAAAATATAAACTTTGTTGTAGAAGAACTGAAGAATAATCTATAAAATGGAGAAATTTGAGCCATGTGCAAATACACCTGAAGAACATCTCTGTGCGCACCCCTTATCCGGATGTACCATATAATTTACCAAAAAATACTACTCTTCTATTTGTCTAAAAATGTTCGTTATAGTTTTATTTCTTACTCGAATCCATATAGACTTTGATCATTAATAGGTGTTGTAAAAATAAATGTTGTAAAATTTGATTATTTAAATCTTAAAATAAATTGAATTATATTACATTTACATTTTGGTTAGTTAAATACTTAAATATACATTTTTCATTATTTTTAGTCTAAGTTTTTGAGATTTGATTTCAAAAAAAGGCAAACTATAAATATTTTTCTGGTCCACGACTCTTTCAATGCATGACAGCGGGAGCAGATCAAGAGAATAAGAAATAATTAAATATAGATTATTTCATAATGTTTTTTCCTAATTCTAGGGCATTATCAGATCTCACAATTTTAACTTGGACTCCAAACTGTGTATTAACCATGTTAATAAAGGTTTTGATTAGGTCAGGGGCATTGTGGCATTGTTTTTTGCTGAAAGAAGATATGTCTAAGTGACTCTGAAAAAGTCATCCACAATAGTTAAGAAATATTCGAAACCATTATAATTTTTAGTATGGTAAGGTTCCCAAGATCAAGATGTATTAATTCAAAAATATGACTAGAGTGATTTTGACTATGAGGAAAAGGTAATTTGTGCTGTCTAGCTCTAGGACAAACATCACAGCAAGATAAGGAATGAAAATTGTCATTATCAAAGGAGCATATTTGTTTCAGCTTGTATACAGGTAAATGGCCCAATCTCATATGCCAAATTTATACAGGTAAATGGCCCAATCTCATATCCCAAATTTGTACATTGGGAACTTTACAAGCTTTATTACAACTAAACACATCAAAACTATAAAAAAGAACTGAAAGTGATAGAGAATGGGTAACATGAGTTTGATTCTGAGAAATGGAATCTGAAACTTGAGTGATATAAAGGCCACAATGCCTTTTACCAAGAGCCACTGGCTTCTTCGTGAAAAGGCCCTACAAGGTACAGGTACTTTGTGTAAAACAAGCTGTGGAGTTCAATTCACCACATAACTTTTCCACAAACAAGAGATTGTACTAAAAATCAGGGACAAAAAGAACATCCTGAAGTGTTGTGTCACATGGTAAAACAGTGAAACCAGCTTGATAGACCTTGATTTGCTGGTTGTTAGGAAAAGTGATATGATGACGAACAGATAAGGTTTTGAGATTAGTGAGAGGTTGTGAATTTCCACACATATGGTCAGTAGCTCCAAGCATAGTGATTAATTTTACACATAGTGTTACACCTTTACTTAGTCAAAAAAATTGAAGAATACCAGCCATATGTGCAGAGAAAGCTTGAGAAGAAGAGTTGGATCCACCCATATCCCCTTTGTCTCCATGTATGGTACTGAAAAACTTCATGAACTTGCTGCAAAGTTCTGGAGTGAAGAGAGCCTCAGAATGACATTCATTTCTACGATGTGACTTAGAATTTTCCCCATTAATGACATTGGTAGCTAGTCTCTTCCCTTTTGTGAACTTGAAATCTTTTAGAAAGCCAATCATTATGTAACACTTGGCTGCTGTATGCCCTTTCTTTTTGCAGTTTTCACAAACAACAATCTTCTTATCCTCATATTTTCCTTTATGAGGTGTTTGGGAGTTCGCAATTAGAAAATCATGTTTAGGAAGAAAATGAGATGTGTTCTGAATTTCCTTCTGTTTTTCTTCATAGATTAGCATTCCATAAGCTTGTGCAACTGAAGGAAGGGGTCTCATGATCAATATATTCCCCCTTATGATATTATAATCAGAGTTCAGTCCCATCATGAATTGTATCATATTCTGTTCTTGTTCATACTTCAAAAGTTCTTGAACCGCTCCACATGTGCATTTTGGTAGATTATTCACCATAACTAACTCATCCCAAACCCTTCTCAGCTTCGTGTAATATGTAGCTATATCAGAATTACTTTGAGTAATGGAACAGACATCCTTTTACAATTGATACAGGCGCGCCATTTGATTGACCAAATCTATCGTCAAGCTTCTTCCAGAGCTCAATGACTGTTTCTGCAAAGAACAAGCTTTCGCGATCTCTCTTCTTAATACGTTCAGGATCCAAGACGTTATCATATTGTTACATCGTTGCCACACGTTGAAGGAAGAAGACGATGCATCTGGTTTGATAACCTTTCCTTAAACGAAACCTAATTTATTCTTGGATGAGAGAGCAAGTTTCATCGCCTTTTGCCATGATCCGAAGCCTTCGCCTTCAAATTTCTTCGAAATCAGCACCAAACCAGGATGATGGGAAGGATGAAGGTAAAGAGGATCTGATGGATTGATTCTACCAGAATTATCTTCTGAAATGGTCGCCATAAACATCAAGACAGAAATGAGAGAGGAAAAACGAAGATAAGATCTGAGATTACTGCTCCGATACCATGTTGATTTCTATGGAAATTAGAGATTAAACCTTCATAACAATGAAGAAGTGAAGAAAGAAGAAGATGAAGATTAGGAGAAAATGTCTTCCATTCTGATGATTGTGTAAAGATACGTACAAAGGAGTATATAAAGGGATACAAACGGACTAGAAGGCCAAGCTGAAAATTAACAAACTACGTAACAAATGTAACAAATAACCAACTATGTAACAAGCTAACTAATCTAGTCAGCCTACTCCAACACAAACACTTGAACGGGAGTTCCCCTTTGCTCATACGAGTAATAGTCATCATGTTTTCCTCCTTATGCACTGAAATACTTGTAGTTATCAAATGTGGCTTCTCATAGTTTACATGTATGTAGCCATGTTGTGTCATTGGAGTGATCCAGAGCAGTGATAATTGTCCCATTGACTTTTCATCTGCTTTACAAACAACAATCAGTTAATCAACAAACACAAGGTTAACGACTTTTAAGGACTTACGAGATGAGGTAGCTTTTAGAAAGAAATAAAGTTTTTTTTAGAGAGATGACTTAAGGGATTTCAAAAATAATGCGACGAAAAGAAGTATGTTTTGTTATTGTTTTTACATTTTGTTTCTTAAAATTTTAAAATCATTTCGATATGTGTAATTTTTTCAATCAAAGGATTATTTGGTCACTAAACACTCAATAACATTAGTCCACCATGTTTAAAATTAAAATTCTCATAGAAATTCTCATGAGGCTACTTAGTTGGTTGAACAATGAGTGACAAAAGTGATAAATCTAAATTTAATTTTGGGTAATTTGCCTAAATAGTACTAAAACATAGTGAGTTTCTCAATGTAGTACTATTAGTCATTGTTCACTTTTCGCTGTTCAAGTAAATGGATACTATCACTAGACATTGTTCCGCCACTAGAATTTATTCAAGTACTATGTAAAGAATAAAAAAAATTAAATGCTACATTAAAAAATCATACTCCGTATATACTCTAGTATTATTTAGTACAAATTTCATATCAATTTTTAGTAATTACGCTAAACTATACTAAACATCATATATGAGTGTCATGTTAGTTTTGAGAGAGCTAGGGCAGAAAACTGCTTCTGGGTACCCCATATTTTTAGAAACTAACTGCCAGGTACCTCACATTTTCAAAATATACTTCGAGGTACCTTCTATTTTGAGAAACTAACTATCGGGTACCTCACATTTTTAAAATATACTCCGAGGTACCCTCTATTTTGAGAAATTAATTATCGGATACCTCACATTTTTAAAATATATTTCAGGATACCTCCAAATATACATTAATTTTACGCCATTAATTTTAAAAATAGGGGTTTGGAATTTTAAAAGTAACCAAGATCTTTTTAATTTGAAGAAAATTGTACTCAATACTTTTAAAATTGAGTACTCAATTTTCTTCAAATTAAAAAGATCTTGGTTTTTTTAAAATTCCAAACCCCTATTTCTTAAAACTAATGACGTAAAATTAATGTATATTTGGAGGTATCCTGGAGTATATTTTAAAAATGTAAGGTACCTGATAGTTAGTTTCTCAAAATAGAGGGTAACTCGGAGTATATTTTAAAAATGTGAGGTGCCCGATAGTTAATTTCTCAAAATAGAAGATACTACGGAATATATTTTAAAAATATGAAGTACTCGACAGTTAATTTTTTAAAATATGGGGTACCCAATAGCAGTTTTTGAACTAGGGCCTCATCCCTTAAAATGCTACGGAGTATAGAAATGTAAAGTTTGACACTTTGACTTGGGTCTTCACGTTGAAGTCAAACGTTCAAATGGGGAGTTGCAACAGTGTACCTTATGCCACCACTTCCGCCGGCAGTCGCACAAACACCGAGCCGCCGCCGCCGCCAAAAAATGGAATCGTCGTTCTCCCGCCCTCCCAGTCTCCTCCACCGCGCCCTTTCCTCTCCGGCATCGGTCGCGTGCTCGGCCGGCCAATGGAGGACGTTCGCTCACTTTACATTTTTGGTGGCGAGCTAGGTCGGGGCCAATTCGGAGTCACCTACCTGGTGACCCACCGCAGAACGCAGGAGAAGTTCGCTTGCAAGTCAATCGCCACCCGCAAGCTCCTCTCCAACGACGACGTCGACGATGTCCGCCGCGAGGTCCAGATCATGCACCACCTCACCGGCCACCGCAACATCGTCGAGCTTAAGGGAACTTTCGAGGATCGCAACCACGTCCATCTAGTCATGGAGCTTTGCGCCGGTGGCGAGCTCTTCGATCGGATCATCGCGAAGGGCCACTACTCGGAACGCGCTGCCGCAGGACTCTGCCGCCAGATGGTTACGGTGCTGCACTACTGTCACTCTATGGGGGTTATGCACAGGGATTTGAAGCCTGAGAATTTCTTATTCTTGAGCTCAGATGAGAACGCGCCATTGAAGGCTACCGATTTTGGCTTGTCAGTCTTCTTCAGACCTGGTATTGTATTTTACCATGACTGCTCGGATCGGTCATCAGATCTCATTAAAGATTTGTTACTAATATCAAACCCTAGTATCAAATTCACATATGCCCAATTCACGAGTATAATCTTCTTATTCATCTGATATCTTAGTTCCATCTTCCTTCATACAAGTATTTGTGTGATACATTGCACGGAAATGGGGGCGGAAATGGGTACTCAAACGGGAAGGGATCGGGGAAGTGTAACAAATTTTCTAAATTTTTCAAATGATTTGGGTGCCCATAGTTATCGTATCTGCTATCTATTGTGTTTATAGGACATCTGAATATATGGCATGATAACCCGCAAGGTATAGACTTTAACAAAAGCTGAGTGAAGAAAGTATAATGTGTATTTGAAAAAAAAAAAATCCCTTTTTTCTCTTTTATGTTCTTCAGTTCCTCTCTTGGAAAATTTCAGTTCTAAGCTGTTAAGCCCATATATGTAGCTAACAGAAGCATAATCCCTGCATAATGTTGTTTAGGACAAATCAGTTTTTTACTAGTTATGACCTTATTTGCAGGCAGATCGCCTTGGACATGATCATAGATTAAAGTGATATGATAGTTGCTCTCTGTGTGTTCAAGGCCTTCAGGTTTAGTTAGGTTTAGTGTAGGGTTTGGTTTCGTGACCCTTTTGTTTGTTTAGTCTGTTTTCTGTCCCCTCTTTCTTGTTAGTTTGATTTTACTTGTTGAACTCTACTAGCTGGTACTTTTTGTGCTTGAGTAGGGTCCTTAAGAAATAGTCTCTCTACCTAGTGTAGCCGTGTAGGTAGTGGTAAGGTTTGTGTATTGTGACAATTGTGTACACTCACCTCAGACCTCACTTTGTGTGATTTAACTGTTTTTGAACTTATTTCTGGGTGCAGGAGAAATCTTCAAAGACCTTGTTGGCAGTGCATATTATGTGGCCCCTGAAGTTCTCCGTCGGAATTATGGACTTGAAGCTGATATTTGGAGTGCTGGAGTGATATTGTATATCTTACTCAGCGGTGTTCCCCCATTTTGGGGAGGTATCTGTTTCTTCCAATGAATGTAATGGAAATTCATCTTCTATGTCATACCTTTCGCCTTGGGGTGGGGGGTGGTTTGGGTGGGGTGGGGGTAAAAATTCACTTTCTATGTGTTTAGTCCCCACTAAGCATGGAAAACCTTGCAGCAGTGAGGGTGAGGATCTTGAAGATAATATAGAAAAGAAAAATAACTGAAACCGTGAATCTGTAAAGTTTAGGAAGCTGAAGAAAGTTTAGAACTAGTAGGCAATGATGATATTTTGCTCATATTTTCAAAGTTTGCTACTAGTACCACCAACATGAATTTATCTTAATACTTCATTAAATTCTTATGTGTGTGTGTGCGCTTCCACTTCATTCTGTTTCTCCCCCTATCACACCCTTCCCCACTTGAAAAAAGCCTTCAGTTGGCACATTATACTTTCTTTGTTTCTTACTTCAATACTTTCTATAAAGTTCTGGGCAGTAAATTCATCAATGCGTCAAGGGTCTAACTAACAGGAAGACTCTCTATTTTTACAGGGGTGAGATTGAATATATCTACCCCTTAGAGCCGTACTAAGTTGAGATTATACTAGGCTTCTTGTTTGCGTTAACTTATATTTTGTTTTGACTCTATATGCATGAACTTTTGCATAGCATGTGTCATGGTCCTAGGCAGAGTCACTTGAGTATAATGTGGTCCATGTAGTACTTTCTATATGATATGCCATGCAAAGTTTCATGTTAAGATTGTTCCACCATGGCCTGCTTTCTGAGCAGAGAATGAACAGGGCATCTTCGATGCTATTCTTCGCGGACATCTTGATTTTTCATCCGATCCTTGGCCATCAATATCTAGTAGTGCTAAAGATCTTGTTAAGAAGATGTTGCGATCTGATCCAAAAGAAAGATTTTCTGCTAGTGAAGTCCTGAGTAAGTTTAAGATCCTTAGAACTTCCGAGATTTAAAACCATTATGATGTAAATTATGACCATGCAGTAATAGCTTAAATATAAGGGTGAATTTATGAAAATGTAGATCATCCCTGGATGAGAGAAGATGGTGATGCATCTGACAAGCCTCTTGATATTGCTGTCTTAACCAGGATGAAACAGTTCCGTGCCATGAACAAGCTCAAGAAAGTAGCTCTTAAGGTAAAACCCCGCGTATGATGTCTGTATTGATATTATTTTATCTTGCTTCCCCCTATTCCTTGCACTTAAGCATCTACTTCTTTTGGAAACACAGGTAATTGCTGAAAATCTTTCCGAAGAAGAAATCATTGGCTTGAAGGAAATGTTCAAATCAATAGACACAGATGACAGTGGCACAATTACTTACGAAGAACTGAAAGTTGGACTTACTAAAATGGGTACTAAGCTCTCGGAGTCAGAAGTGAGGCAATTGATGGAAGCGGTATTGTCCTTTGTTTTGTTTTTCTATTCATCCTAATTTCTTTCATTGACGGAACTTCATATTCATTCTTATCCTGCATTTTCTATTTGCTGTTAATTACTATGGAATATGTAACTATGTACTCCCTATTTATCTGTCAACATTTATTATGCTGTCAGGCTGATGTTGATGGGAATGGTACTATCGATTATCTTGAGTTCATAACAGCTACTATGCATATGAACCGTATGGAAAAAGAGGACCATTTATACAAGGCTTTTGAGTACTTTGACAAGGACAAGAGCGGGTAAATAAAAAAATTGCTCTTTCCTTCCCGACAAATTGTCCTATTTTAAGTATTACAAACATGACCCCTTTTGTGGGATGGATGTAGTAAGTACATTTTAAATGTTTCATGTGCGGATTTTTGCATTTCGTATAAAGTGCTTCTTTCTGAGATGTTGACCATAAATTAGGTATATTACGATGGAAGAGTTGGTACATGCCCTGAAGAAACACAATATTACTGATGAGAAAACGATTAAGGAGATCATCGCAGAAGTTGACACAGACAACGTATGACTTATATTCCTTTATTCCTACTCTTTTGGCAGTCCTGCTCTTTATTGTTGTAGGGCTATATGTCCCTTTACGATGGCATATTTACTTACAGGCTAAGGCTCCTGGCTTCATTCGGTGGAGCTGTGGGCAATGTGTTTGTCCCCCAGCTCCTACATTAACCCTTCAACAGCTCCAAATTTGAGGTGTTAGTGGGTTACTGTAGCAGTTGGGGTAGACGGATTTTCATTTTTCTTCCCCCAAAGATCCCCTACTTTCGGATATTCCCTTTCTTTTTTTTATTATAGATAAATGCCCTTATAGTTAATTTTGCATCACAACAGAAACAACTCAAATGAACACCCAGTATCCAAAATTTCTCGACACTTGCCATAATAGCAATAGCTGTTGGAATAAAGTGTATTAACTAGCTCAAATTTTGTATTACATGATTAACTCCTATATATAGAAAATGAAAAACAAGTAACAACCAAAAATATCTTCCTAACTAACAAACAAACTATGTAACTAATCAACTAAACAAATGCTAAATGGTTGATTACACCAACACCCCCCCTCAAGTTGAAGGTGGGAACAACTTCAACTTGCAACTGAATCAAATCTCTGTTGACTTCAATCTTCGATGTGTATGTAGATGAAAGTCCATTGACCTTGGAAGAGGCATAAACAACAAGCTTCTCGTTTAGGATCCTTGCTTTTGCAGTATTTGTCAGTAGATTGTGAAAGAAATCCAAAACTTGGATTTGCCATATATCCATCTCCTTAGGTATCAACTGCTGTTGTTGAGCCATACAATAGTGTCTTTTCCACACATTCCCTCTTAGAACACACAGATGTATTTTTAGACAATGAGGCAATATATGACATCTGTAGGCAGTCCCTAGACATTGAGAGGCCAACTTACAGCAACCTGAATCATTTGATATCGCAAATCATCTCTTCATTGACATTGGGTTTGCAAGCTACATAACAGTGGAGAGAATTTTCTCCATAATTTCAGGCTTCGCAACCCAAAAAAAAAATCCCTTGATTCTGAAGTTGAGAGACACAACTCTCTGTTGAATGGGAAAAGCAATGCTTTTGACTGTAGATAGCATCATTCCCATGTCCAGAGATAAAATTTGAAGACAAGAGGTGATAGTGATGGACTGATGGCTGCCATGGTTCTCCAGAATGAACATAAAAGTGAACCATACACAACCGATGATGAAGATGAGATGACAAATCAATTGATGAATTCAAAGGAAAACATCAAATGATGAAATGAAACCAATTGTCAAAAGCAATTGATGAAATCAACCGAAAACCGGATGATGATGAAAGGGAAACTCGATCAAAACGATACGAGTGAAGCTCAATCAAACCGATTGAGTGAAATTGAATAATGATGAAACTTCTGAAATACAGAAGTGAAGGAAAAAGATTGAACTAAACATTTCAATCATGAGAATAAGATTGAAATTGGATACTCAATCTGAGAACCAATATAATGAACAGAGGATCAATAAGGATCGGTTATGATGAAGATGAAACAAAGATGGCAAAGTCAAAAATGAAGAATATGTTTTGAATTTATTCAATCTCTGATGAAATCTGATGAGGATGAAATCAGATTGACAATGATATTCATGTCATAAAACTGATTTAATTGAAGACAGAAACTCAAATGCAATAATTACAATTTTGCATTTGATAATGATGAATCTGATTTGCATTCCATGGAGCACAAGATAATGAACATGACCTGAATTAGAGAGATAAAAAGGCAAAGGAATCTGACGGCAACGAAGATGGTGAGATGATGAAGGTGCTGCTGCCGGTGAAGGTGGATCTGATACTGGTGGAGTGCGAGGGAGAAGAGACCTCAGACAGTGTAGTTTTGCCTTGGATTCAGAATTGACGGTGAGATTGCGGAGAGATGGACCAGGACGAAGCCTATTGAGGCCAAGGACAGAGAGGCGCAAGGAGAAAACGTGGCAGATGAGAGTGCCGGTGACCCCTCCCCCCAAATCTTATTCGGATCGAAGTACTAGAGGAAGAAGACTGGAGATCCTTCAATCGGTGATTAATGTCATCAAGGAGACCATTGATCTGTCCCGATTGTGAAGCGTAGCCGAACAGATAGGTCTCAAGCTGCTTGTTCAGATCCGAGAGACTTCGGTCGAGATCATCACACTGATTCCGGAGCTCCGAAAGAAGATCCGGAGCCCGTTCAAGGTCTTCTACGGTGCTGAGCTTCGCATTGAGTCAGTGAAAACGGCTTCTCCGCCGTTGACGAGATCGTACAAGAGGTCGGAGGTGACAATCGCTTTGATAGAGAGACCGTGGCTTTTCTTCTCAGAGCTGTCAACATATTGAGTCCATCTCTCGCATCTGCACGGCAGAGACAGCGTCGAATTGGTTGAGGATGATGATGAGCAGAACGGCGGCGAGAAATCCACAGGTAGAAGACGCCATTGGAGGAGGAGGAGGGAATAACGTGATGTAATTGACGATTCAGCTTCTTCGGAAATCTCCACCGAGTTGAAATTGAACATAAGGAGAGAGGAATTGGGAAGCGTAAGGAGTCGGTTGCTTGGAGCTTAGCAACCGTGCTCCGATACCATGTTGGAATAAAGTGTATTAACTAGCTCAAATTTTGTATTACATGATTAACTCCTATATATAGAAAATGAAAAACAAGTAACAACCAAAAATATCTTCCTAACTAACTAACAAACTATGTAACTAATCAACTAAACAAATGCTAAATGGTTGATTACACCAACAATAGCACAAACAGCTCAGACGTACGGTCCCTGAATCTGTATATGGAATGCATTGTGGACAGTGAACTCGTGCGAGCAAAAGCACTACGGGCAAAAAAGTTATATTTTCCCCAAAACGTTGGATGATACTCTTTCTTGATAAATTATACGAATAAGAGCTTTATTGAATTGCAGGATGGGAGAATCAATTATGATGAGTTTGTGGCCATGATGAGGAAAGGCAATCCAGACTTGGTCACTCATAGGCGGCGAAGATGAAACCGAATACGAATATATATTTTTCATGTCAAAAGGTAATGTGCAGCTAAGATTGAGTTTGTTTGGTGTTCAGCCATCTGGAATATAATGTACATGGTTTTGTGTACCCATCCCACGTACATATCTTTGTTTATGTAGAGCATCAACTATGTTTGGTTGCTCAATTGCTTTCTTTGAGAGGTTTACTTCTAAAACATTCAGATATAGGAAATATTACTGGGGAAAGTAGGCCTGTGAAGCATATACTGTAAGCCTGGAAACAGGGAAGCAGGTGAACATATAACTTCATGGGTATATCACTGCAGTCAATCAGCGAGGGATTAAATACAAATGCCACATGCCCCGGGTCAAGATATTTGGTGAAGAAAGAAAATTCTTCTGGGAACAAAGTCTCCTTGTCTGGAATAAACTTTATGCTATGACTTGATAGGAATTTAGATAAAAATGAAAATTAAATGGTTGGAATTTGTCAAGAGGTTATAAAGAGATTGTGTGTCACAGATTACATTTTTTATAAAAAAGAAAAATGTTTTTCACGCAAATATTTTTTTTTTTAAAATGATAATTATACTATGGAATGGGTGCATCATGCTCGTAGGGTCTGTTTAACTTAATTTTTCGACTTATTCGAATCAGATCAGATAAGTTCAGATCAACCACATATTTAAATTACACTACATTCGGATTAGATAAGATGATTTCAAACCAGATCAAATAAATTTAAACCAGATCAGATCAAAACTTAATAAATCTTGATCAGAATCAATGAGATCAGACGAAGAGAAGATACCCGTAGTCACTTGTACCCCTTAATATATTTATGCAAAGCACGCGACAATTAGCTTCTCACCCAAATCATTTTAAGCCAAAAGAAATCACTCTTAGTAGAAGTAAAAAAATAGAGAAAAATACCAAAAATAAGAGCTCCATATTTTTATCCCCATAATCGAAATTTACATTGTGATAATGTGACACCTATATATGAACATTTTACTATATTTTTGGTAATGATTGATACTATAGATGCACTCTAACTTCTATTTCAAGAATAAAAACATAAAATTTTATTTTAGTATATTTTCAATGTTTTATTTTTGAGTAAACTACATAATTGGTCCTTTATAACAAAGAGGTTTCTATTTTTAATAATTTATTGTAAAATATTACCCGTAGTCCTTTTTTTATGAGTGGTTTTCCACAATTTCCATAAAATATTACAACACGATAGAAACTAAATCCAACCAACAACAAGAACAAAAAACAAGATTCAACGTGGAGAAAGAAGAAGATGGAGAAAACATAGGAATCCGATGCAAAGAAGATGCGAACGGAGGGAGAGAGGGTAAAGAAGATGAGGCGATGCCGGCCGCGATTGAGAGACTTGTAGTAATTTATACTTTTTATTTCTATACAAATCTATACTCCCTCCATCCTAAAACGTTCTTTCTGTTTATGTTTACGAAGTTTGATCGACTTTATTTTCAATTCAATTTATTTGATTGTAGGTGTAAAAATAAAAAAATAAAATTTATATGTTTAAAGTTACATCAAGAGTTCTACAAAACAAGAGGTGGAAACAGGACTATATTATTTTATCAAATAACCAACGAAAATAAGTAAAGAAAATGATTAAAATTTGACTATGTGAATTATAATTGGAAATAACATTTTATGACGAAGGGAGTAATAAAAATAATTTTAAAAGTGATAAAATTTTATACTCCTTCCGTCCCTACATATTTGCCACATTTGTTTTTTAGCAGTCGCGGGAACTTTTGTTTATTTCTACGTTTTCATTGGTTATTTGATAAAATAAAATATTCTTGACACATCTTATTTCAAAGAACTTTTTACATAGTTTTTTGATATGTAAATTTTATTTTTTATTTCTATAACAATATGTAAATAAAACTAATTGAAAAAATTTATATTTTATCTCGATAATAGAAGTGTGACAAATATTTAAGGACGGAGGAAGTATATTATTTGGGGTGTGATATCTATTATGGGACCATACAATAGGAAACACATTAGGGACATGAAGTGCTGCTAGGGTTTGTGTTTGGGAAAGTCACAGGAAGGCACTGCAAAGAACAGGAATGCGAGAAAAGTATGTCTTCGATTCCGATCAGTCCCTGTTTTCCGAAATTTAGGGCTTTTCGTTCTTCACAGAATTCATGTGACCAGAAGACTCATCAGATTGGGATGATGCTCGCCTCCAATTCCATTCCCTCTCTTCCTCGACGCCATCTCCTTCCGCCTTCAATCCCTAATTTAAGGGTTTCAAATTTTCGTCCCAAGTTCATCTCTCTTCTCCCCCAGCGCCCTCGACTCTGTGAAACCCATCAACGGTTTTCTAGAAAGGTGAACTCTTTTCATCTGTTTATGTTATTTTTGGTTTCGATATCCAGTCAGTGCAGTAAAGTTTCATTTTTTCTTGTTTCCTCTTTGTTTTAAATTAGGGAGTGTTTAGAAACTAGGAGTTCATTTCAATTCTTGGATTTCAGTTCCGAAATTTTAATTCTTGGATTTCAAATTACATGGGGGAGTTCATGGATTTGTAATTGAGCTTTGTTGGAAATAAGAGGAATTTGGCCCCAAATCCATATTTTTGGATTCCCAAACCAAACATGTACTGAATTTGGGTCAAATCTGAATTTGAAAACCAAAGTCAAGCTCCCAAACAGGCCAATAGTTTATTCCAAAGTCGAGTATCTTCAGCTAGATGGGGTGGATTGTATCACAGCGTTTCTGTTCTGAACCTAAACTTGCGTTCTTTATGCGTCTTATACTCACTGCAAAGGTTTTGTTGTGTATTTTCCTCATACTTCATTCTCAAACTAAGGAACACGACTTATGAGTTGTTAAATCACTTAAATGTCTGGACTGCACCTTATTTACTCTTATTTTCAGTTTGGGGCTATTTTAGAAAAACCTCTTTGAAGAATTGTTGTCATTATAATGACAATCTTGTATTTGTTTCAGTCCTTCTAATAGCTACAAAAGAAACACATTTTCAGAAGTTCTTTTTGATTATCTCTTCTTCTTTTTGTAATTCATTTTGTAGTTTATTTTTTCTCTTCTGCTTCAGAGGCAATATCTGTTTATTATTCTCTCTGTTCTAATCGGTGGGTAATAATATGATATACTGGTTTACTGTGACACATTTCACGGTTTAATGACTTTTCAATGTTTTGGTACGCCATAAAATTTAAAGGATACACTTTTACTTGCTCTCATTTACGACTATTGGTTCATTAAGGGGTAATCGTGTGCAATTAAAGCTTTCTGAAATACAGCATCTTTTTGTGTGAGATATGAATGCTGTATACAGGTGTTAATATTACTGTACTGTATATTGTAGGAATGGAAAGTATTATGCTTTAGGAATGATGAATATTCTTCTAGTGACTCCCATCCTGATGCGATGGAGAAGGCTTTACTTGAAGAACGCATAGAGGCAAATAATAATAATAATTTAAAAGTTGGGAAAAGGGACTGGATTTCATTTCTCGTAAAGGCAAGCGCTCCATCCATGCTTGTTTTCTACATACAGCCTGCATAGTTATTTCCCTACTAATAAACCATGCAATCACTAAGATACATTCAACATTTTGCAATGTGATTTGTCAGATTCCAGCTGCAGTGCGTAAAGTGCTTGGAGAACCCTGGAATGTCCCATGGAAGGCGGAGACAATCTTCCAGGTAAGAGTCCTGATATGACATGCCATTAGGCTTTGCAGATCTTAGGTTAAATGCATATTTAGTCCTGTAAACTGACATTTGTGGCAATTTCAATCCTGACTTTCAAATTTTGGCAATTCCGGTCCTTCTCTTTGCCTCTTTCAGAGGGAGGCATATGTGTGAATCTCTATGAGCAAATCTTAGTTTGTAAATTGAAGATTAATGTTTTGTTCTTCCGGGCAGTTAAGTATTCATCTTTTACATGTGGCAAGAGTGTAGTTAATCATTAGGCAATCACCTGAATGGCTGTCTATAGTAGGTCATCAGTCATAACATTAGAAAGACTGCAATATTAGCGGTATTTGTTTTTGTAAATCATTCGGTCAAAATTTTCTGTCAATTTCCACCCCCAACAATTTTGATAGTCTTATTCGGATAGGTGCACTGTGTGAGATATGTGTTTCATATGGCAAAACATGCCAACTTCAGCGAGGGGAGGACCAAAATTGCCATATAGGTTGACTTTTAGGATTAAGTATACATCTTGCCTAAATTTTATCAAATTCTTTCTTTGTTTTTGCTCTAAATTTTGCTTAAGTTCCAAATATTACATGAACATCAAAAGATGCTTTCTTAGAAAACACTGTAGTTCAGTGGGCATTTTGGTGAATGTTCTGGTTCTCTTCATTATTTTTACATGACGAGGTTACAATTCATATCGTATTTTACTATTTTTTAAAGAACAAGGATGTTCATAGCTGTCCTGATTATTTTTCACTTTTTCATTCCATAAAGCAATCAAGTTCTTAGCATCACTATTTAGAGACTGAATTTCTCTTTCCATAATTGTGCTACTCTTGTTTGATGTGCATATTTGGGAATTCCCTTCGCATTTAATTTCCTCTTCTCACAAGACACTTTTCAGTATATAACTGGTTGACCGTCACTCTTCCATAAGTAATTGCATGGATAAAATAAATACATCTGGTGGAATATATGAATCCGTAGTTTTGAAACTAAAATATGTCTGACCAACTCCATGATAATTTGATAAGTTTATCTGAATCCGGAGTTTTGGAACTAATATTATGTTTGACCAACTCCATGATAATTTGACAAGTTTATCTGAAGTTATGACCTCTCAAGTCCTTTTGATGTGTTCTTTACCCTCAATGGATGCGTTTAGAGTTTGTTTGATATCCACATACATGTATTGAATAGGCTATAACATCTTTAATAAGGGTGTCAATGGTATCACAGGTTATGCTCCTTTGGATTGTATCATTCTGGTTCATTGGTTCATGGATGATTCCTTTTGGAGCCCACTTGATGGGTTTCAATAAAGAATCACTTACATTTAGAGGGCAGGCTTTATTCAGCCTATTGACCGATATAACTGAGGGCCTTGCTGGAATTTTAATCCTCAGACGCTGCTTATCCCGCTTTCACCCTCTTCCTTGCGATTGGTTCAAATTCAGCATGAAAGGGAACTGGCTTCTTGATCTCATACTCGGTTGCCTCATGTTTCCACTCGTAAATCGGCTCTCACAGCTCAACCTCAACCTTCTTCCCATTTTACCCTCCACTCCCGTCACGCTCTCCAGCGTGGAGCAATCCATACTGGCGCGAGATCCGGTGGCCATGTCACTCTATGC